TGTTATGAACTAAATTTTGTCCATACAAAATTCACAGGTTGAAGCCTTAACCTGCAATTGACTATATTTGGAGATAGGGCCTTAACAGAAGCTAATTAAGGTTAGATAAAGCCATAAAGGTAGGACCCTAGTCTAATGCACTGGTGTCCTTGTAAAAAAGGAAAAAGGCACTGGGAGAGCTCACGCAGAGAAAAGACCACGGGAGAACACACTGAGAAGGTACCATCTGTAAGCCAAGGAGAGAGGTCTTATCAGAAATCCCCCCTACCAGCACTTTGATCTTGGACTTCCAGCCTCCAGAACTATGAGAAAACAAATTTCTGTTGTTCAGATGAGTCTACATAGAGGACTCTGAAATCCACATCTTTAGCCTTCACCCTTTTTCCCTCAGCACTGACAGTCACTTAGTCATCTCTTTAAAATGAGCTCCTCTTCATGGCCTCATAATTACCTGCCCCTCGTGACTTCCATTATTTATATTAATGGATCAGTTGTCAAGATACCACATCAAGATCTCTCTTCCTTCGTCAATAGCAATAGCAGGATGTGAGAAAGATGATCAATAAAGCCCCACAAAGAGATCATCAGACCCTACCAAGCTAGTAGCATGTGAGCCTTTGGCTTAAGTCCCAGATTCACCTGGAGACAGGAAAAGGAGCATTAGTCAGCTGCAAAACATTCCTAGAAAGTTCATGCTTGTGCTTCTTCCTTTCCTGACAAAACATCAGGTCTCAGGTCTGACAGGCTAACGCATTTTAATAAGTAAAGGCCCCACCCTAGGTACAGACAGGAAAGATATGAATTACTGTGCCAAAACAAAGAAACAAACAAACAAACAAACAAAAAAAACCAGTTGCCTCAATTCTCCTCAAAGCACTTAGTTAGTAGAGAGCTCTCTCTGGTGATACTTCAACTTTATCTTAAAGCTTTCTTTCCGATTTATTAGTTTCTATTCACAACAGTGTGACAAACTGGCCTTCTGGCAGCATGGCCCTCCCCAAACATACGGGCATCAGGGTTGGGCCACCACTCTACCCCTCCTCAACCCACTGTTCTTCAAGTCACATCAACTCAAAACCATAGGGTTATCTTTGACTCCTTTCTTACTCTCATTAACTACTGGCTGCCCTGTTTGTGTTTTCTTTAAAATCCCATTACCCATTTCTGTGGGGATGCTGAGAAAGTTCTGGAGATGGATAGTGGTGATATCTGTATAAAAGTGTGAATGTACTTAATGCCCCTGAGGTGTATACTTAAAAAATCGTTACAACAGTCCATTTTATGTTACATATACTTTACCTCAATTTTAAAAATTTCCACTGCCAATTATTTGTCAGATACAAGTCCTTAGGACCAAGACCTAGGTTTCTATGGGTCTTCTAGAGGTTTCCCTGCACCTTCTCATCCATCCATCTCACATAGCACTGCTAAAAAATACTGCTTCCATCCTAGGACTTCTTTCTTCAAAAATTGACTGTTTGAAGGTCAATATTAATTCCTTAATCAAACATTAAAAACACTCTACCATCTAGTCAAAGCCTCCAATTATTTGTTTGTTTGTTTTGGAGAGAGCATGACTATGTGAGGTAGAGAGAGAATCTTATGCAGGCTCTTCGCCCAGCAGAGACCCTGACTCAGGGTTTGGGGCTCCATCTTGAGAGCCCCAAGCTCCATGATCTCTACCCTGAGCCCAAATCAAGAGTTGGATGCATATCCCACTGAGCCACCCAGGGTGCCCCTCAACCTACTTTTAAAATTAGTCCATTTGCTAATTTCCTGTAGCTATGCACAGCTCTGTTAGACATTTCTGTCTCACACTGATGGTGTTTTTGCTCATGCCTTTTTCCTTGCCTATATGATTTTCCTCTCCATCGAAAGTTATGTGCCCCATTTTACTTTTTCCACAAAGTGTTCTCTGACCGCCATAATCCAGACTGATTTCCCTCTCTCCTTGTTACCACTGACTAGATGTTCTTACCACTCATCTGAAGTACCATAGAATACATACCACACACATTCTACCTCCTCAATTAAATCACACACTCCTTAAAGTCAGAATGCTTAATCTTTTATTTCTTAGTAACATCCTGTGTCTTTGTAGGAGAGGCTAAATAAATATTGATGGACTGATCCAATTTGAACTCATCAAGTAACAACAAAAAACATCCATTGTAAGATGGACATATTTGCATTTATATTATGAAGATTTTCAAAAGGGAACATTCAAATAAAGGAATTTCTAATTAATCCTAAATGAAATGGATGGTATCCTAAAGTCTTTTTATTGCTTGCAGTCCACATCTATTCCCAAAACATAACTGAGATTGTTAAAGAAGAACAGATACATTATTAGCCCACCTAGGTAAGGATAAGAGATTTAAAAAAAAAACAAAAACAAAAACATGAAATATTGCCAAGCTGAGACAATTATCCTGGAAACCTCAGTCGAGAGAGGCGAGTTGTTGCAGTCAGAGGTAAGTTTAATAAGACCACAGGAAAGGATGATCACTGAAGTGCTTTAGAGTCTCTCCTAAACAGGAACTGTCTAAACCAGGGCTGTGCCTCAAGCAAAAGGTTCTGGCAGACATCAGTTTCAGATGGAAGTTTCTGATAAATACCTGGTATGCAGAAATATCAGTCTGCTAACGAAAGATACAATCTCAGAGCCTGAGACACCAGTCAAGTCTAAAGTTGATAATCTGGTATATAAAACAAAGAACCTAAATGGTGTTCTTCCACACACAGGGTCACTGTTGATGTGCACAAAGGAGGATCCAGGGCAGCAGCGAGGCTTAGAGGCGGCACTGGGACTGTCCTCAGTGGAAGCTTTGGTTTAGCTTAGGTGTCTGAAAAAAACACTTAGTTGAGGCTCTACAATTCTAGCCCACAAAGCATGGAAGAGAGGATCTTGATGTGAGAATTTACGAAATACCTTGCTCTTTACGCAGGATAGAATTTGAAGGCCATATATATATGCATATATATATTTTTTTTTTTTAAGAAATCTGGCATGGGGTTGTGACAGAATATAAAAGCTATTTAATCTGCTATTATGAAGACTGAAATATAAAAATATAAAAGTAGTAAGAAGTTTTATCAAAACACATTTATGACATTTATTACACTTTAATGGCCAAGTGTAACATTGCCTTTAGTGAGTCTCAAAAGAGCCTCGCCACTTCCAGCTTTCACGTGACCAGCTGTCGCGTGTGCCCCTCTACTCTAAGAGTACCAAATACAGTGTAAACCAAGAGAAGCACCATAGCTCTTTTCTATCTGAATTATTAAGGAGAAATTTATTTTCAGAGGCTATACAATCTGATAGCTAAAAGCATACTTTATTCCCTCCCCTCACTTAGCAGCTTACAACTAGTAGGTACTTCCATTAACATCTCCTTTATTGAACATCTCAGACCTCACCCTAAAAGTTTTCAGGAAGTGAGAGAATACTACTCTTAAGGCCAAAGTCAGTATCTCTGCCCCATTCAGAATTTGTTATTTGTGCATAATCACACAACTCCTTAAGTTGGGTATATAACCAGCCTTACTTTTAAAATGATATCACTTGCTTTTAATGATGCAAATCAATTCTCTGGCCACCAGAGAGAAAGGTCATTAATGAGAAGCTAAATTACAAAGAAGAGCTAAAGTATAATAAAATATTACTATAATGTAACAAAAACACTAAAACAGTGCATTCTCTTTACCAAATGAAAGCTATTCTAAGTAATGTCATAAAACCATTTAAAAATCACAACTATTCACAAATATTAGTATAGTATCATTAATATTAGTATCTTAAAATTAAGACATACTATTAATAAAGATTCTTAGTAGTAATATTTTATTACTAAATATTTTGTGTGAAGGACATGTTTAAATCTTCAATTAGCTTTTGTAGCAATTATTTTTAAATGACTTATAGAAATTTATCCTAAAACTTAACATCTCCATGACAAGGATAAAATATTCTTGTAAGAACCAGTTAAGGAGCAATGGCTACCTCCTTCAGATCCTCATACATATAAACATGAAAAAGTTCTTTTTCTAATGAACAAGGCTCACATAGGTCACTTACTATCACTTACCGATACAGGAAGCTTTATTAAAAGCACTTAGATGACCCGAACAAGTGGTCCTGCAATTTTCGCTTTTCTATTTGATCACTGTTTTTCGCTTTTCTATTTGATCATTGTTTTTCAGTAGACTACAACATACAACATGGCCTTCTCGCATACCCACTCTTTGGCATACTACATGGGAATAATTATACTGCTGCTTTAAAGGAATGTGGTTTTAAGTAATATCCTTTTTAATCTGGCAATTAGCACTCTTAAAAATATATGTTCTCTTTTTCACTCTAACCTAGCACAAATCAGGAAAGAAATGCTTTTCAAGACTAAATCGTTTTTCTTGCTATATTTAAGAGAAAGAACTAAATAATGATTATGACTATAATTATACCTTTAAAAATCAAGTTTCTTCATTCAAGAAAAATCACTTCATAATGCAATCAAAAACCAATTTTCCTCCAGTTTTGTAAAATGAATACAATCATTTTAGGACTCAGTCTTGCTTATGAGAGAAAAACAGCACGCCGCTGGCCTTTCAGCCTCAAAGGTCACTAACCAAATATAATTAATTAATTAATATTCCCTACATAGAATTTAGTGCCTTAGTCTCACTCCTTCTAAGATAGTCACTAGTCAGGAAAGAATTCCTTTGGCCAACAAACATCCAGGCTTTTCAATATTAACTATTCATCTGCCAGCAGTCTCAGAAATTACACTTACTAGCGGTATTTCATAATCAGTTTAATATTATTTTAGGGTAGAAAATGGGGGCCTCGAGTAACTAAAATAGAAAGATGGTGGTGACGGAGAGACCACTAATATTTAAAGGTTTAGCTTAATATTTAAAATGTAGGTGCTTAATATAGAAAAGGTCAGTTTTAGCTGAAAAAACTGGTTGAAGCGCCAGAAGGCTTGAACCGCACTAACCCTGAAAGAGCTGAACGAATCGAGGGTGCAGGGCCGCGGTGACCACGCTCCCTGGCAGCTCCCGGAGGAAGAGCTTCAACAGACTGGCCGCTGAGCAGACGTCCCCGTCTTTCCCAAGCTCCACCGGGGCTCCACTCTCAAACTTCCATCGGAGCCGTTCCACCACTTTCACGTTGCCGTTCACCCTGAAGAGGCCTTCCTGGGTGAGTCCTGGAGCAGGGGAGCAGACCCACAGAGAGTAAACAGAGGTCTCTCACAGACAGACACGGACTCTAGAGAACGGCAGCCACAAAATACATAAACCTCACTACAGCACTACCCAGTACTGCAAGATGTTCACATTCTGCAAAAATGCTTTCCTACGATAATAGATCTTCGCACCTACTATGTATCAACTAAAGAGATCATATTCTAAAAGCTGACCTCGAAAAATAAGGTTAGGACCCACAGAAATATAAAACAGATGCCATTCTACAAAGAAACTGCATTCATATAATCTGCAGTACATTATGGAAACTTACCCTGGGCTCCAACAGCAGCTTAGTATTTAGTTAGAACTATTAAAAAAAAAAAAAACTAAAATGTATGTAAGAAACTTCTTAACTGTATGTGATTACCTTTGTAATAATTAAGAAATATTCTTTAGTATTCACTGAATTCCAAGGATAAAACTCTAGGAGATTACAATGTAGCATAAGACAAGTTGCTTGCCTTCTGCCAGTTGACAGGGGATATTATCGTTGGCGGGGGTCAGCACAGAAGGCTCCATAAGGGAGTTTTCGATGCTTTGCGCCATCTTTGTCTAAAGCATAAGGAAGATGGGAAGACTGGGGCTGAAGAACTGTGAAACTAATGAAGTTTAAGCTTCAGGGCCCCTTCATTTATTTAGGTCCTTTCCAATGTTTGTCCCTAATTCTTATTCTTAATTTTGTATTTTTCTTCTTAAAAAAGGCCCCCAAAGGGTTAAGCAGCAGGAGACATAAAACTTGGATTTATGCCCGAAAAGAGGAATATATGAATTAAGAGGCAGAGATAGGACAGCATAAAGGAAGATAAACACATGGAAATGCGGAGTGTTTAGGTCAAAAAGCGGTGGGGTAATAAAATGGAAGAAATGGGATAAGGCCACAAATGGCAAGTTCAACAGCAAAGACATGGGGTGCCCAGCTGCCTCAGTCTGTAGAACGTGCAACTCTTAATCGTAGAGTCGTGAGTTTTAACCCCACATTGGGAGCAGATCTTTCTTACTTAAAAGATCTTACTTAAAAAGACTTTCTCATGGGAGCATTAAGGGGTGCGGGAACACATTAAATCAAGGAGTACAGAAGATCTTGCTAGATGAGAAGAGAATGGAGGGCAGAAAGCTTGCCTTTAGGGAACCACATTCTACCCTAAGGCAGTAAGAAAGACAGATTCCTGTGGGAAGGGTGAAAAGGAGAGAAAAAAGTTGATTGGGTAACTGAGTACAAAAGGGAAGTAAGGAAGAGAAGAGTTAGAAGGTAATTTTAAGGTTTAAAAACTAGGGAATCCAGGAAAAAGGACTGTGAAGGATAAGGTGAAGAGGGGTTGAGGGATGGTAGCTGGCTTAGGGGAAAGGTAATGATTTCCAGCTTAGGGTACTGGGTTCAAGGAGACAGAACCCCATGGAAGAAAGCCAGCCAGCCTGTGGAGAGCCTAATGGTGACATTTAGCAGGGACATAAGGACTGAAGCCCACTGGAATTATTTAGATGAGGGGGTGTTTGTTTATATTAATTTGCTTCTTTTTCTTACCTGGTAATTGTATCGCTCTTTCTAAAGAAAAAGAAGAAAGCTAATTTCATATGATTATACTTTTGTAATATGATTAAACATTTTATGAACCTTTCGATTCAAGAAGTCCATAGTAAGTACCTGGCCCCATGTTAAGGAACTTAAAAACAACAACAACAACAACAACAAAAAACATGAAAAAAACAAATTCAAATGCTAGCATTATCCTCACGGCGTTTGTAGACTGGTAAGATGTACACTTTAGATATAAAGAACACGAATCTCAAAAGTTGACATGAATTTTAGCTCCAATTTTGACAAAAGTCTATGAAACCAGAGAGGATATTAAAAGTATTTCCCCAACCAGTGTGAGCAGGGCACCATGTAATCAGAACGTGTGGCAGGCAGCTTCTCAAATGGCCCCAAGGATGCCCATCTACGGGTATCCACACCCATGTGGAATCCCTTCCCCTTGCATGGGGTCTGGATCTAGTGCCTTGCTTCTAACCAGGAGACTGTAACAAGATTATGTGATTGGGTTCTAATCTTGGTTTTAACCTTAGGTTATACAAGACTGATGTTCATCTTACTTGTTTGTTTCTCTCTGGTTCTGCAGGCTTACTCACTCTGATGAATCAGCTGCTTTTTATTTGGTTAGCTACCTCACGAAGAGGTCCATGTGGCAGGGAGTGGAAGGTGGTTTCTGGACAACAGCCAGTGAGTAACTGAGACCCTCAGGTCGACAGCCCACAGGGAACAGAATCCTGCTAACAACCACGTGAATGGGCTTGGAAGTGAACCTTCCCACAGTCAAGTACTGTTATGACTAAAGCCTCAGCCAACACCAGATTGCAGCCTTCCAAGAGCCCCTAAGACACAAGATATGACTGGACTGTGCCCAGATTCCTGACACACAGAAACTGTGAGATAAGAAACACTGTTGTTTTAAACTACATGTTTTGGGATAACCTGCTACACAACAGGTAAATATGATGCCATTTCCTTTAACACTGCAGAATCTCGGTTACTGAGAGACTTCCCATTTAACTCACTTTTAAAGCTTTCAAGGTCTATTTCCTCCATTCTACAAGCTTTATCTGTAACTTCAGAAATGTGTACTGACTTCAACAGACAGCACCCAAAAAATAGCACCCATCTCTGGTCAAGGCCCAAATCATGAAAATTCAGAATTCTACTTATCTACTCAGCTCCTGAGCCTGTTTTTGAACAGCAAATGACTCTTGGACCTGATTTCACAGTGTTGTTCTAGCTTTGACCTTAGGTTTTCTTTTCCAACTAGGCTTTCTGACCCTTCCCTCAAATAAATATTTCCAGTTATTCCAAAATAACTACCCAGCTCTAAGAACTGGCTTTGGTCCTTCAAGGTCCCTGGATCCCACTGCCCTTTACTGGCAGAGAGATAAGGTATTAATTAAGGAAGTCACTGAGGTTCATGCTTCTCAACTATTTTTTTCTGTCCTATTCCATTTATTTGTTTAACTCTCTTCCCTCAAAAATATTTCTCACCCAAACAATTCTTATGCTACCCAGTGATTTTCAACTAGGGGCACCTTACCCCTGGTTCTATTATACTTAGGGGGAAAAAAACCCATATGGTTTTTTTAAAGCCCCTAACAATTTTATAATATATCCAATACCTATATGAGGCTTACCAGACTTATCACCTCTCAATTTTCCTACTTTAAATTTTTAGGAAATGGTGATTGTAAAAGAAATGTTTAGAGGAAGGAGATGCTTAGAAGGCTTTGTGAAGTTATTCTCGTATATTTCTGAGATTCTCTTCTATTTTATTTCAGGAGGTACAGGTTAATTAACATGAAACAGCAACTTAATAATTGGTTTAACAATGAAAAAATTACATCAATGAAATAAGATCTACACCATTGACAGTCACCTTCCTATACAATTGAGATATTTATTTCAAAATAGTATGAATATGTTAGAAACTGAAAATGCCAGAAGTCAGAATTTGCTTAACTAGCACACTTTGGCCCAGGAAATAAGACAATGTATGAGCATATTCTGACCCCTGGTGGTAAGTGGAGAGTTCTACACTATTTAAAGTGGTATATCCCATAGGATCTTCATGCTAAAGAGAAGGAATCCAGTTAACACTATCAGCAAGATTAGTTATTTTCAAACAGTATAAAGATGATCTAGCTAATAACTTGTAAAATTTTCCTTCAAATGGGAAAAATCACGTTTTTTTTCTTTTATTTCTTCATTTTTTTTTTTAGGAAATAAAGTTCAAAGTCTTTTTAAAAGACCTTCATATAAGACCTTAATAAACCCTTTCTGTCCTCATATTCTTTCATAACAGAGAGTTTTCCCTCACATTGTTAAAGGTCTACATGTACTGTGGTCATACTTTGGTGTTTAATGTATCTACCTAGGGTTAAATAATATGACCAATCATCCCTACCTCTGATACCTTACAGAGGGCCTACTGTATAGCGCATTGTAGGTGCACAATAAGGAGAGGCACAATACATATCTGTTGACTTAAAAAAAATACAAAATAATTAATGAAACTAGTTGAAGTACCTCGCCCACAAACTTCATTCTGCCCTTCAGACTTCTACAAAGTTTTTGGTTTGTGAACATGGTAGTTTCAGACATAGTAAAGAACTTCTAGTTGTCTACACAATAATTAACTACACAACCTTTGAAAATATAGGCTAGGTGCCCTACCCACCTTAGCTTGCCAAGCCAAAAGTCTGATTCCGTGCATCTAAAGAATCACCAATGGATGGGTATTCTGAAAAGATTCCACTAGTGATTCTATTTCACATTTCTAGGTAAGAATAAGTGATTTTCTATTTTACATTTCTAGTTAAGAAGGACTGATTGAACCTATTAAAATATTTAGTTTGCATTAACCTGAATATACCCAACTAACCTATAACTATGGGTAAGAAGAGATAGAAGAAAACCAATACCTAATTCAGATTTTGCCAAAATGTTCATAGAGTGATGTTGTGAATTTAACTGGCTCAACTCTTAAAGAGTTGATTATAAATGCACATACTTTTGACCCAGGTCTACATATACACCCACCATGCTTGAAATGACCTGTGAGAAAGGCTGGTCACTGAATCCTTGCTTACAGACAGCAAAAGACTACATACAATTCAATATTCATCAGCACGCAACCGCTTAAAGAAATGATACGTGTATCTGGTCAGTGTGTAAGGGAAAAAAGAATTACATGAGTAAAGCTTTTTATGCAATATGGAAAGATCTCCACAATATACTGCTAAATGACTTTTTTAAAAGATTTATAACAGTGTGAATGGTATGCTGTATTTACGTTCACAGGGAAAAAAAGAACATATGCATATATGACTATACATATTCATAAAATATCTTTGTAAGACTATATCAGATGCTGGTGAAGTAATGTTGTTTCTGAGAGGGAAAATGAATAATCAGGGGACAGGTTTTAGAGGGACAGATTTTTCAGTGCATATCCAGTATTTTGTACCACATGATATTAACTATTCAATAATTTCTTAAAACTTAAAAATGAAAATGATTTTACATAAGTGTAACCCTAAGAGGCTATAACTCAGTCATTATTAGGTAAAAGATCAGAACACTGACTATACCAAAAACCAAAATATTTTAGGTAGTCATACTTTGTATTCAAATGAATAATATTGAACAACCCTACTTAAGAGATTAAATTAATTACCTAGAGATCCATTTATATCTAAATCAGTAGCATACAGTTTTACTCAATTCTGAGTGTTTCTGAGATCTTCAGAGCTCTCACAATTTAATGTGATTTCAAGACCCTGGAGGTCGAGGCCCCATCTTCCCACCATACTGTATACTACACCTTTTTGATTTAACCTGTTTAAAGTATTTGAATAAACCCGGAGCTCTTCTCTAAGAATCTTACCTGTCTGGAGCTTATCATCCTCTAAAAATAAGGGGACAGCAGCTATAAAGTAAGGGTACAAGCCTGGCTCTTCAGTTTTTGGAACAAAATATCATTTTGTCTTCTACATACCTAGTAACCTGAGCAAATAGTTGCTTTTTCAGTTAACACAAAACACCTGACCTTTTGAGGGCTGAACTACGTGCCATACCCTTCCTGTCACAAGCTGACTCACATTCCTACAGAGGAACAGATGCACTCTGTTTCTCACGTATTTCCAATAAAGGATTGTTCTTAGTAGGGGGGAATGGATTTGTAATCATGGGAAGATAAGGAAACAAACTGCACAAAGTACAGAATGCCTCTGAAGTCTCAAGTTTTACCTTTAAAAATTCTTACTAATTTTAAACTCTATTCTGCAATGAGTCTTTTGTGTAGAAATGTTGTTTCACTATAGAAAACAATGAAAATTCCAAGCTTTTCCCCTCACAAGAGTTCCTTCCCGAACCTGCTAAAGATTATTGACATTTATTATGTAGTTTGGATTTTTCCTATAATATTTCCCTAGTTTGAAAAGCATGAATGTAGGGGATATGGAAGAATTTTCTCTCTACTTATCCAGGTTTTTAAGTCCCATTTTAAATTAAATCATTTTAAAAAGCTGTGAGATCTTAAAAACAGATTTATCTTTTTATCATTCAATGAACTATATTTTCTCCAACTTTTTTACATGCTTAATTATATCACTTCAAAAGTCAATGACCCCCCCCATAACAGGCTATATACCATACTTCTTCCCCCTTTTTTTAGTATCCCTACCGAGCTTATGAAAGCAATCAAGGCATCCGGTAAGTTCAGGATTGAACTCAGCTGAAAAAGATACCCCAGAAGTGTTTTGTTTTACTAAAAATTACTCAGTTGGAATCTAATGGATCAAGAGAAGTCACTATTGTTAGAACAGTGTATTTTATTTAATTTTTATTTTCTTTTTCGATTTTATTTGACACAGAGAGAGGGAAAGAGAAAGAGAGAGCATGCACAGACACGCACATGCACACACAAGCAGGGGGAGCAGTAGACAGAGACAGGGAGGAGCAGACTCCCCACTGAGCAGGGAGCCTCATGCGCCCCGATCCCAAGACTCTGGGATTATGACCTGAGCCTAAGGCAGACGCTTAACCCACTGAGCCACCCAGGTGCCCCAGAACAGCAAATTTTAGAACTCAAAACTAGGAATCATTCCAAATTAGAAACGTTCAGTTTCTGGTATATTGAACAGTGGTGTCAAAATAACATTACACCGTAATAATGCTCTTAATGTCCTTTTTAAAGGAAAAGCTATATTACATAATTTGATATTCTAATTAAGGTGTTTTAGGGAATATACTAACACACGGTGAAGCAGTTCACACGGAAACCTTCTCGTGTGCAGGAACAGTAAATGCAACAGAATGAAACTGCGACTTACCATGCTTCACCAGGTACTCCACTATAGTCCCCACTATAGCTGGAACACCGTTCTCCGTGAGCCCCTGCTGCTGAAGATCTTGGAGGCTGACTCCAAATAACTTCTTATAGGTCGAGCTCCTCGGGTCATTTAGTGGCACTGCCACTATCTTTTTCATGTCTTCTTTCAGCCGAACCGCTGCTTTACTTTGCTTGAAAAAACATAAGAAAAAAGAGCAGTCAGTCACTTTTACCACAGGAGGTTGCATGCCTACCTGAATTGAAATGCAAGCGTCCGGAGACCCATAGGAGGGGTTCTTCACTAATTTTTACTTCCACTCAAGTCAAAACTACTAAAATCTCTCACAGGTTGCCCAGTGTTATAAAGGGCACATACTGATAGAATAGTTAAAAGGAATGAAAAATGAGAAACCTAAAGCCACAACTTAACTGTAGCTAAGGGAGGGAGCAATAAATACACTGCAGTAGCTAAGATAGATTATTACAGTTACCAAGGGGTGTGACCAGAAGCACCTGGTTAACCGGAAGAGAAACTCACACAAGATCACTGAAACTCCATGTAGATCCTAGAACCACAAGAGGTTTCTGAAGATGAAAATCTATCTAGATGCCATTTTAAAGTAGCTTTAATTTGGAGTCTTAGAAAAACTACATTTAAGTAGAGTGAACATTTGTTTCTCTGATTTAATTACACCTGTGAATATCTCTTCAGTATTTTGGCACATAAAATCAGCTCAGTTCTCACTCAAGTTCAAAATATTCCATCTCTGAAACGGCAACATCTCAGGTAGTCACAATTTAAACATTTTCACAAGACTGTACATATTACAAAGTTAAAAAGTGCAGCTTATAATTAACTGATTCAAATTATCACTACGATGAAAAATACACACAAATGTTTCTTTTAATGGAAATTTGTACCCCAAGGGATTATTACATTATACCATATTAAATTTTATCTTTTATAACTAAATGAGGGATTTTCTTTTTAAAGCATGTGTGCTATATAAATGTTATATATTTATGAGTCTAAACACTGAAAAGCTGGAAAAATGCAAACTGTTTTATCTGGGGACAGAGGCATTGGATTGGGGGAAATTTTCACTCTCTGAGAATGAATGTAGCAACCAACCAAAGTGTAAATATTGTAAGTACAAGCTCCTGTAGTATTACCACTTAAAAGTAGAAACCTTACCTTCAGTTTAGAATTGAGGAAACCAAGATCAGAGTTAAGTAATTTAGCAGAAGTCACAGAACTGGTAACTTTCATCCTCCTCTAGGTGCATGTTCCTCTCAAAGTGAGATTTATATTAATGTCCTAGTGCAGTTTGTATATAATTATAGTAACATACTATTATTAACTCTGTATATGACCCGAGGAAATGACAAAGTTAATTCTATAATCTTGATTTTGAGTATGGTCCCTGTATTTTCAATTTTATTTTTGATCTTATAATCTACAGAATCAAACCAACTTCCATTGAGATGTTTACCTATTTTGGTAAGTCATATTTGAAAGCCAGATTTTTCTAGTGAAAATTCAGCAAATGTAAAATTATAATAGAGATTTAGTATCTACTTATATTATAAATAATACTACAGATTTAGTATCTATTAATATTATTTTATCATGGTGTTAGCTACTACAGAGTACTAGTATGGGCAGTAACTATGACCTATTGCTAAGGAAATTATTAATTTATTAAGCCAAATTTATAATAGCTAATAATTTTTTGTGAGGACTCAAAAACCTATCAATCTCCTTCAACTGAACATATGAGAAATTTCAGTCAACCAGGTGTATCTGGTGAGCAAGAAGCCAAAAAGAAACCAGTATTAATGAAACTTTGAAAATACTCTCAAAATGTCACATTAAAAACAGCTGGCAATATAAGGTTAAATCCTACATTTTTAAATTTAAAAAAAATTTTTTTTCAGTGTTCCAAGATTCATTGTTTATGCACCACACCCAGTGCTCCATGCAATATGTGTCCTCCTTAATACCCAACACCAGGCTCACCCAGCCCCCATCCCTCTCCCCTCCAAAACCCTCAGTTTGTTTCTCAGAGTCCACAGTATCTCATGGTTTGTCTTCCCTTCCGATTTCCCCCAACACACTTCTCCTCTCCATCTCCCAATGTCTTCCATGTTATTCCTTATGCTCCATAAGTGAAACCATATGATAATTGACTCTTTCTGCTTGACTTATTTCACTCAGCATAATCTCTTCCAGTCCCATCTATGCTGATACAAAAGTTGGGTATGCATCCATTCTGATGGAGGCGTAATATTCCATTGTATATATGGAGCATATCTTCTTCATCCATTCGTCTGTTGAAGGGCATCTTGGCTCTTTCCAGAGTTTGGCAACTGTGGCCATTGCTGCTATGAACATTGGGGTACAGATGGCCCTTCTTTTCACTACATCTATATCTTTGGGGTAAATACCCAGTAGTGCAACTGCAGGGTCATAGGGTAGCTCTATTTTTAATTTCTTAAGGAATCTCCACACTATTTTCCAAAGTGGCTGTACCAACTTGCATTCCCACCAACAGTGTAAGAGGGTTCCCCTTTCTCCACATCCTCTCCAACACTTGTTGTTTACTGTCTTGTTGATTTTGGCCATTCTGACTGGTGTAAGGTGGTATCTCAATATGGTTTTATAAATCCTGCACATTTTATCTTACTTTTGTTTTATCTTCTTATAGGGACAATATAGCATAGTGTTTTGGAGCATGGAACCAGGCTTTCTGTTTCAAGTTTCACTCTGCTCTAATTAGCCGTGAACCTTGGACAATTCACTTGACTTCTGTGTGCCTATTTCCCCATCTGTGAAATGGTGATGCTAAGAGTTCCTCTCTCACGTGGATATAGGAGACTGAAATGAATTCATATACATAAAGGAATGAGAAGAGCACTTGGCACACTAATTATGGATTGTTACAAATCATTACAACCATCATCACCATCATCCTTATTCTTCCAGGAAGTTATCCTGATTTCTTCTTTAGAAAATGGAGATACACTCAATAATTTCTATACTCAATGTGCGTCTGATGTTTGCTGTTTAAGAAGGCATCGTGGTCAAGACGTGGGTAGTCTGATAATCTAATTATTCTCTATATATCTCTAATATCCTAAAATATGTAAGAATGACTTCTGAATGATATATACAAAATTGTTCCATCTGTATCAGAATTCCCAAAGTTTTTATTAGAAAGTCAAGGTTTTCTTGGAAATGCTTGAGTTTAACACCTTGAATTAGTGCTCTTTCTGCTAACACCCCTGTTCTTCACTCCATCCTTTAGTCAGAACTGCAGACAGCAGGTTAGGGCTCCTATTAGTAGACAGTGTAGAGAAGGAATCTTGGTGTTATGGATTAGAAAGTTTTCAAGGAAGAGCCAGGCAATGGACCTCAGAGACGCTGAAGTGACTGCAAATTAAACCAGCTGTTTACTCAATATAAAGCCGCACCACACTGAAAATTTATATGTAATCATAATGAAAGAACCTCTGTTTTCAATTGGTAAGTAATTCAAGTTAACATTTTTAAAACAAATAATGTTTAAAAAAAAACACAATGAAACAAAACCACTGTACTTCTAGAGTCATCACAATCTGTCAGTGACCACAAATATATAATAAAGTCTACCCTGGTTGGTGAAGAAATCAGCTAGCAGGAAGCAATGAAATGTTACCAGTAGTTTATGCCTAAACTACTACACTACTTCAGTAGTTTATACCTAAGTTATTAAAAAAATATTACAGCAGCTTATAGCAAATATAATAATCCCTTCTGGATGGGGTGCCCGGGTAGCTCAGTGGGTTAAGCCTCTGCCTGGCTCAGGTCATGTTCTCAAGGTCCTAGGATCGAGCCCCGCACGGGGCTCTCTGCTCAGTGGGGAGCCTGCTTCCCCCCTCTCTCTGCCTGTGTCTCTGCCTACTTGTGATCTTTCTCTGTCAAATAAATAAAATCTTAAAAAAAAAAATCCCTTCTGGTAAGTAATATTCAATAGTCCTTTGGTCATGGAAAAATAAAGTGACTGTAGAAACAAAGTCATTTATGATTAATTCTACTTAAATTGAAATTATTTTCTACTCTTAGACAATGATATATCATTACTACTTTATAAATGTAAAAATCTATGGAATTTTACCTTTTCAAACATGTATCTTACCTTTCTTGATTTAAAATAAGCTAAAAATAATGGCTAATTGAAATATTCTGAGTCAAACTTAACTCTCTAAACTTTGCTTTGTGTACATTCCCATTCATCAAGTATTTGTTGGTTTGGGGTCACCTAGTCTCCACTTCTCCCCCACTCCCCGCTTTTTTTCTAGTAACATATCCTAACTACCGTCTTTTGGGTAAGGACTATAGCCTTATTGCGAATAACTCTGCAGGGACTGCCACTGAAAAGGACCACCTTGTCTTTAGCAAGAACCAGCCTCAAGCTCCGTACCGGATCCATCAGACCTCTTTTGCAGGCCCCTGATGCCTGAGTGGATTGTCAAAAGCACAGAAAAAGGCTGGAGCTAATTGGTTCCAGCTGCAGTGTTCTCACAAGCTGTTAATTAACCATTAGATTAACTCTTGCCTCCTGCATTGTTGGAGCCGCTATGGTCCCTGAGCTGCCCTGACACTGGTGCTTCAGCTGTTCTTTCCACGTGGTGATCCACTCCATAAGCTGCTACTGAAGTTTCTTTGGCTTTAAGGTAGCCAGATGTTCTGAAGCAGATGGACAAACAGACACACACACCTGATCAAAGTACCTTGAAAAAATAAAAGAAGTCAGAGCATATAGAAAACCACGATTTTAGTAAAGAGAAAATCAGATCATATATGAAGTTTGCTGACCATGTCATGGCTTCAGATACTTGAGATGGTTTCACTTGTTAAACCCCAGAAAAGAAATACTAGGAAGGATGAGCCTTCTGTGATCCCCATTTTACAGAAACACAGCGGATCTAAGTAATGTGCTCTAGGTCACATCAAGGATATGGTGTAGCCAAGAGTCACACTAAAGCAATCTGATTCCAGAGGGCAGGCACTTAATTCTGCCTCCACAAAAGAGGTGGTGAGAACAAAATGCACATGCTGGGCAGTTCAGTGCCCTTGTTAGAAATGAGAAAAGTCCTAACAGGAAAATAAAGTCAGATATGCTCAGAAGCAACATCAATATTTCTGATA